CAGAAATTGCATCCAAATATGGGGTTTCCAAAGTCCTATTCTTGGTATTGTTTCAATTCCTTGGAGCCGCGATGCATGATTCCCGGGGTCCACAAACATTTATATGACATTTTTTTCTAGCTTGAACGAGATGGATAAGAATATAATCACCAGCTTCACTGTTCACGTTTTAATAATGCAACACCACAAAGTCTAGTGACTGCAGTTTTAGACATCTTGTCGACAGTTCTGTTAGTCTTCATAAAAACAAATATCCGGACAATACAAGCATTTTAGTAAGTACACAATAAGATTCCAGTATTGATTTACTACCAATGCACTGCACCAGTGAAAACCGACGTCTGTTACCCAATTTACGGACATCTCAAAACGTCATCTGAACACATTCCGCACGCTTAGTATACAGTTTGACAAAAGTTGAGCTCAAGTTAATGGATATTTCTATCAATTACTCATATTGACCCGGATGGAAGTGCATAGGGAGCCCTAATGTGAGAGGAAACCACTTGGCTGGATTCACCAGCTTTGAGTTTATTTCATTATTAATAACATGTACTGCCTGATGTATGCTTTGTTTGACGTGTCGTGGACAAAGGGTTGCAGTGAACAATGGAATGCTCCCTATTGATCCCCCGCTCTGTTTATACATATTGTACAGATGAGGGAGACAGGTTGTTGGTTGCATTTCGGCCGATTAGCTTGTAAGTTTTACATGTATATGTCCGTCAGAGTTCAAACCTTAACAACCGGTTATTGTACATGTCCTTTTTCGTGGTGACCATCGGCCATAGCTGGTTAGACTGTCTTGGTGGTTTTGCTGCAGGTGAAAAAACCTTAGTGCAGGTCTGATAGCTTTCTCGCCATCTCATTTTGTGTGTCAATACTAATAATTAGCTTCCTTTAAAATATTTTCACAATTTATTGGGCACTGTGGGCCTTCTATCAGATCAAATAGGGATAGTTAGTTGTATGTACTCTGTCAGTAGTTCACGGATGATGATAAATCAACTGCAAGCGCGTAGCTGGACTGTAAAGGATGTGCTTGCAAACATCAAACCATTTTGCCCCCCTCCCCTGGAAAAAATGAAATCCAGACATTAAAAGAAGCCGAATCGTTTTTGATATTTCAGATAATAATTTTAGTGTAAAATTACTAACATAATCGGCGCCAAGTGCCAAAGATTCCAAATACGCGTTACTGGTTGTCGACAGTCGTTTACTCAGACCAAAGGCATTATCCTGGAATATCAGGACAGTGATCCGGGAGACACTTCAGCTGTCTAAGTAACCGATTACAATAGATTTCAAGGAGATTTTAGTGAAAGTCTCCAGAACATTACGTCATCTGGGTCGGGCGACAGTCATCTGTTATCCATATGTTAGACGTTATGGGCTACCTGATTTTGAGAGGTCTTTTCGGTGAAGGCTAGTTGAAGTTAGTTTTGAAGGTCGGTGATACATGTTATTTCTTCATGTAGTACTGTTTCGACGATATTACTTAAAAGGGTAATGAAAAGGTTCACTCTGTACTTGCCAGGTATAGTGTGACTCTTGTCTTTTTGGAGGCTGGCATCAGAATGCTGGTCTTGAGGAGGTCTGGGGCACGATTGGCATACATTATGCCGTTGGTGACATTTTTAATCATGTAAATCATGAGTGGTCCTACATGTTTAAAGTGCTTCGCTGTTAATCCCAGAGCGTTCTCCGCACGAAGTATTCTTGGGGGTTATTGACTAGAAATTTATTAAATTCACTACACTGTTTATCATATCTGCTATTATATGTTGGCGTTGGGTCTATCGAAGACCTCGTCTGTGCATCCTCAAAATTCCATTTGTACAGACATTCGAATTGGAATTTAAAATTTGTGGAGCCTCATACGAAAATAAAGAGATGTTTTAAGCGTTCGTTGGGGTGTCAGTCAGACTTGCAGCTCCAGAATTTTAAGGTTGTTTGGGCTCGAAATGCTTGTGCTTCTACTTCTTGATTTGGTTTTTGCACTGTTCACGGATACTCCAATGTCCAGTATATATACTATAACATTACTGATGTGCATAGCACAAGGGCTATATATATCTATGTCAGGTTGGCTGTCTTATCTTGGTTTGATGGACAATTAATTGTACTTTACGTTAACATCGTTCCTCTACAACATTGCAACCCCACTCATACCACGTTTACACTCTAGTGGAGAGATGAACTCCTCGTCATGACACATTTGGTATGGAATTGGTGTGCCGGGAACATGTGTTGCAGGTCTTCTATCTCAGATCTAAAAGGGTATGCTCCTGAATGGCAAACAAGGGGGACATTGCCAATTTGGGTATTCTGGTTGCCATCGCTGATATATTTTATATTTTGCAGAAATACTTTTGGCTTATGCCATCATGATACATATGAGATTAAATAAAGGTCAGCAAGGGGACCGTTCCGAGATATGGGAAGGTAAAGGAGGGGGAAATCTAAAATGGCCTCATTATAACAAAAAATTGTTGGTAGGGTGTTACAAGATGTTAAAGAGTGTCAGGTAAACAACTCTTTTAGCGCATTTACATCACAATCTACAAAAAAGAAGAAAGCCATAGCCTCGGGGCAATATGTGTCAGCCAATGATATGCTGCGGCGGTCATATTTGATGTGCGACTGGGAGCTTAGAAATACAATGTGCACAAAAATAATTCGAGGTTCTTATATACCGCTTTATCACAACCTAGTTTAAGGTCGTCTCAAAGCGGTTCACAAATTATTATCCATGGTTATAGGACCTTTGCCACCAGCCAATATATTTCTCAACTCACCGGGAGCATACAGTCGATGCTGCCATTTAGGCGCTCATAGCTTGCATTAAACGATTCTAGCACTGCCCAACCACGTACTCATTTACAGCTGAGTAGACTGGAACAAGCGGAGTAAAGTATCTTATTCAAAGATACAACACAGTGCCGTGACGTGACTCGAACCCGCAACCCTTCGGATCACGAGCCCGGCGTCCTACCACTAAGGACTACCGTGTCTCACATATAAACACGCATATCGATACTCAGGTGGAGTTTCATAGTGTTCGGCAAAACGCAAAAAAGACAAAATCTTAACTATGATTTACGCACGTTACCCGCTAGTGGTGTAAAGGAGATAACTCTTGCTGTGCTACGTGATTCGTTTGATTCTTTATGAATAATGATATTAATAATAATAATTCGAGGTTCTTATATACCGCTTTATCACAATCAAGTTCGTAGGTCGTATCAAAGCGGTTCACAAACTATTATCCGTGGTTATAGGGCCTTTGCAACAGCCAATATCTTTCTCAACTCCATGGGGAGCATACAGCCGGTGCTGCCAGGTTATAGGGCCTTTGCAACAGCAAATATCTTTCTCAACTCCCTGGGGAGCATACAGCCGGTGCTGCCATTTCGGCGCTCACGTATGGCAAGCCAAGTTGTCATTTATGCACGGCTTACATTCTACAATTCTAGCACTGCCCAACCATGTAACCCACAGAGATCTGAGTATTTGTTACAGCTATCTATATATGGACCTTAACTAAGGTGTTCAGAGTAAGTTTACACGTTTTAGGGGTAATTTCTATAGATCAACTTTCGGTAAAAAAATGTATTGTGACGTTCCGTTCGATTAACGATAACAATTTTGTGTGGAGTCAAGTAAGCAATTACTCTGTCCAATTTCAAAATAATCTAGTAACGTATTTATCCGTTACAATAATACTGTACAGTTAGCATATACATATGTAGCTTTTTTTTATTGGACTTCCTTCAGAGTAAAGATACAACACAGTTTATAGATTTCACCAGTGTATTAAATCCCAAAATCACATACGAATACACAGTTAACCAGAAGTATATTCCACGCCGTACTCAGACTCTTGCTCACGTCAGACTCATCCTCTCACTCACAATCACACACTTTATACCCTACCTGTTTACTCATATATCTAAATACACGATAAAGATACAAGAATATTTAGTTAACGTCGCATACCATCTTTTTATAAACATACAAACATTATAGCTCGGTAGAGCTCAAAAACATATCATGCAAAAAAACCCACCACAGGCCTACATGGATGAAAAAAATATAGGTGAGCTAAATAAAATTCACTCAAGTTATACAAGAAACTGAGGTTGTGTTAATATATTGTTTTATTACATATACTTACTGATAAATAGTGTGTTTTTTGTATCAGCCACCGCCGTATCACACCCCAAAACCCGTAACAGCCCTCAAAATATAGATCATAAGATAATAGCTTTTATTAGTAAATATCTAATAAACAGAATAAAACATGCCTTTTTCCATATCACACCCAGTATCAACCAGAGACAGCAATATCAGCCCGAGGGCCGAAGAGCCTGACGGCTGATATTGCAGTCTCTTTCGGCCCTCGGGCTGATATTGCAGTATCGGGTTGATACTGGGTGCAGGGATGTGTAGTGGACACATCCCTGACTGGGTGTGATATGGAAAAAAGCATGCATTAGTTTCTATATACATCCTTCATAAATTTGCATATTTATACATTCTGTCTACAACTCACGTATACACTATCATGTTAATTCTATGATTTTTCTTAATGACATTTGTTTCTTTTAAACTTTTGGATAAAAATAATAATACATATTATTATGAACAGGTCCACATGAGTAGAGGGAGGGCGGTCTAGTAGTACCGTAGTACAAACCCATGTCAACTGCAACTAGCAATTACATTGAATGCGTCATATTAGTGTAGTGTGAATGTGGATCACACTAAAACAGCATGGATGGGTGATTATGCCCAGCAACAGATTCAAGTATATTATATAAACCAAATACAGTTACATAATTTTTTATGTTTTAATGTGTAATGTTATGAAAACAAAATCGTCAACACAAAATTGTGAGAAAAATAAATTTACCAATGTGTGGTTGTGCCACCTTAATATAAATTAACCAATCAGAGTATTCCTATCAAATCGCTTTCGGTTTCATAATAACAAAGTCACGTGATAATTATTGGGATGTAGATGTCATAAAATGGAGATTGCAGCGATGTTATTGTGAAATATTGTACTCGCATAGATTCCTAGGCCAATAAGAACTTTTCGTTGAAGAGATAAGACTTTTTGCGTTACAGGTAAGGTCCATAAATACTGACAAATGTTTGTGCCTTAAACTTTTTCGTTGATTTTAATTTATCGATTTCACATGGGACCAATTTCTGCATTGTGTGCTGAATCGGACTTAATGAACGACGCCGCTATTTATTTGTCCTATTGACATAACAGTCTGCATTGTGTGTGTGTGTATTTTTTTTTT